ATCCTCGCTGCCCAGTGCTCACTTGAGTGGACGTCCTCCTTCTCTCCGGCTTTTGATTGACCGCTGCTGCTTACACTGCGGAAAGAGGAAAGGGAAGGAAGGGCGGAGAGACACAGGCCTAGTAGCTTTCGTATCCCAGTAACACTGAGCTTCAGCCCAGGGAACTGGCAAGTATTTAAAATGCTTATAATTATATGACAGTTGGCTGCGAACTTGACCTGCACGGTGGTATTTAGTCTCCGCGGTAACCCCGAGAGAGGTGGTATCGCTAGTTGACCATGGAATCATCCGTGAGAGGTGTTATGTCGCACCTGGGGCTTAACCAGGATTCAGGATCTGTGGGGGCTCCAGACCTGTATTAATTTGATAAATCAAGATACTTTCTTAACTCCACGCTCTCTGCTTAAACAGAGTGAGGGGGCACATTCATCAGTGTCTCTGTTTTCTCGAAAAAGAAAGAACGAATTCTTGCGGAAAGTAAACTGGCCCTCTCCGCTCTGCCATCATAAGCCTTTCTAGCTTCATTTTCTCAGTATCTTCCTCCAGTTCCTAAAACGGAGGATGCTTCCGCGGATGTCTGCATCCTTTTGCTCAGCGTGGGCCCTTAGTTCGCTAACACACTCCTTGACCTTCAAGCCCCTTCACTGTAGTCACTCCCTCCAGGAAGTCTTCCCTGATAGCTGCTGACAGCTTTCCAGACAGGGCAGTCACAGAAGTGCCTCTCCTATTGTTCCCAGAGCACCTTGTTTTTATTTTCCTTTTGGCCCATGTATCATTATGTAGCAATCATCAATTACTTGTCTGTCTGTGTCACTGATAACATCACAAGTTCTATCTCTAGCACCTATCAATATACAGTTCCCAGCCCGTAATAGCTGCTCACTTGATGTTTAGGGGTTAGGAGTGAATATTGTTCATTAGCACTTACAGATCTTACTTAACAATTCTTCACAACATCTTGTTTTAATGCACTAATTTTAATCATTATAAACTCTTGTTTTATCTTTATTTTATAAATGAAAACATGGAGCCCTGGGCTCAGAAAAAAAAAATTTAAATTACTTGATATCAGACCACTAGTAAAGGCAGACCCAGGATGTGAACCCAGATCTGTACAATTCCAAAGTCAATGCCCTGACCTACCAGGCCTTCCTGCTATTAGAAGCCTTAAAATAGAAGCAAACACATGAAGCATGAAGAGAGGGGCTTTGGACCCTACTGTAAAAGCAAGTAGGAGCCTTTGATTCTATTTAATTCCAACAAACCTAGTAGGACACTACAGAGAAGGCTTGCTGGCAATTTGGGACAGGAAAAGAATGTGAGTGAGAATAATTACCACTGAGTGATTAATGTGATTTTTTCAGTCATTGCATTAATATTGATAGAGTTTTCCTCATGGGTGAGGTCCTTTGCTAGATGAATAGGAGATAATAAAATTAACGTATAGATAATAGTTTACAAAGCACGTTCCTATGATAACTAATTTTCCACATTCACTCTATGAAATAGGTACTATTGTTATCTTCCCATTCTAGATGCAGGATTGAGGATCATAGAGATGGAGTGGCGAGGCCAAGATTTCACGGCTGATTCATTCTGAGCGTGACTTCAGATTTAAGCTTGAGTCTTCTGGCTCTACTGCTTAGGCACCCTTCCCTGTGCCCACTCCCTCTCTGAATTATACGGGTTTGCACACAGATAGATATAAAACATCGTCAGAGCAGTGTGAGAGACCGGAAGTGCGGAATGTGTACGTGGAGGGGTTGGGAAGATTGCTTGGAGAGTCATCTTCATCTATGTCCCGGCGGACTGGCTCAGTGGTACAGTGGTACCATTGCTCAAGCGATGCCAGATCCATGTGGAAGTTTGTGGATTTGGTTCAAGATCGCAGGTTCAGAGAACCAGCAGTAAGCGTAATGGCTATGTCGCTGGATTCCCATGTAGTTGACCATGGTTCGCATCCTGGACCTGGTGGCTTAAAACTCACGCCAGGCGCGTGTGCATGTGTGCCCAAGATCCCAAGAGGAGAATGGAGGAGAAGGGATTGCGGTGTGACCATCCCTCCTGGGGGGTGATTTCTCACTTTCTGTCTCTATGTCTCTCTCTGTCTGGCGAGCGCACGCACCCTATAGCGAAAAAAAAAATCTCTCCAAAAAAAAAAAAAAAAGATCACAGGTTCAGTTCCCCAGGACACACTGGGCTGGAGGGTGATTGGGGACCCTGTAGAGAGACCCTGTTGAAGACCTTTTCTCTCTACCTCGCACTCTCATGAAATAAGTAAGTCAACTTAAAAAAAAAAAAGTGTTCTCAAATCAACTAAATTTGAGAGCACACAAATCAAATAAGAAAAACATGTATCCTAGAAAGATTGACAAGAGATACTGAACCATTTGGGTAGCCATCACAGTAATCTGCAAGGCAGTACAAGCTTCTCAAGGCCGGAACCATGCCTACTCAACTTCATGCTGCTTGTGACCTAGCACAGTGCTTTGCTAATAATGGGCACTGGGGAAATGTTTGTTGAATTTCACTGAAAACCATTTCAACCTAAATAAACAAGATGAGGATGAGCAGTTAACAAAGACAGTTGCTCCAGCTCGTCCCTTGATTCAACGATGATGCATTTAGTAGGGATGGCATTACTCTGACCCCAATTGAGAAGGGGTGTGTTTAGGAATGGGGGAGCAGCCTAAACAATGAGCAGCTTTTACTTTCAGGGAGGCTGTAAAACAACTTGGGGTCACAGTAAGAGGCTATTATTAACAGGGAAACAGTCTGAGTACAAAGAAGAAGGATTTATTTTCCAAGAGGCGGACACTCTAATAGGGTGTTCTTTGTGACACCTTCAGACTGATCCTTTTGAAAAACTGGAAATCTCTGAAGAATATCGGTATAGAAAAGAAAGGCTCTGCCTTGCCTCCTACCATGTCTAACTTTGTTCAAAGCCAAAACAGAATCCAGTAATTCTTCGCGCCTACCTCTCCAACTGCACAGATACCCTCTGCTTTGTCTCTCCAGACCCAGGGTGTCAGTCTCCCCGGCAACAGTCACTCTTGTTCCTACTCCACAGTCCAGCTCTCCTCTCTGTTCTGTTTCTCTCCTCTGTCCTAGAAAATCCAGCATGCCAGCCAGGTTTCCTTCCTTAGGGCCAGCCTGGATTTCTCTGTCTTTGGGTACATTCATAAGTCCATTCATTCCTGTCCTGAACTGTACTGATGAGCACACAGGTGCTAAGGATGTGACATTAAACTAAACAGCTGAAGAAGCAAGTTTTTTTTCTCTTTTTTTAGAGACGTTTTTGCAGTAGGGCATGTGCGCTCGCCAGAAAGACAGAGAGACTGAGAGACAGAAAGCAAGAAATCACCCCCTAGGGGTCATGGCCACATCACAATCCCTTCTCTTCCATTCTCCTCTCCGGCTCTTGGGCACACATGCATATGAGCCCGGTGTGAGTTTAAGCCGCTGGGTCCAGGGCTCAAACTACGGTCAACTACATGGGAGTCCTGCGACATAGCCATTTCACCAACTGCTGGTCCCAAGAAGCAAGTTTTTAGAGTAAACTTGGAGATCCTGTGTCCTGAGAAGCCCAATTCTCCATCATTGTCATCCTATCTCTTTATAGAATAGAAGCCTTGTTACTGCACCTGGCATAGGGGCCAGCAGGTGACATGGTGGTTAAGGTGCTGGACTTCCCACTTGGCCGACCACAGCTTGAGTCTTAGACTTGGTGGCTTGCTTTCTCACTTTCTCTCTGTGTTGTTTCTCTTTGGTGAGGGCACGTTTCCTATAGCAAATTAAATAATAGGGAATAAAATTAAATTATTACTTTTTAAAAAGAAAAGAAATAGTGTATCCCTTCAGAAGAAAAAAAAAAACAAAAAACAGAACAGTAAGCACAACAGCAAGGATTTATACTATATTTTTAAATAGAAAACATATAGATATATATATATATACCATCATCCATTTCCAATTAGTGTTTTCTTTTTTAATAACATGCTTTTTTGAAAATCATATTTGATACGTACCAGCCTGGGTACTTGATTACACGAATGAATTAAAATAATGCGCATTATGTATCTGTCACTGGGCTATGTATTGAGTACAGAGGGACAAAAACAATTGTTTGCAGACTTAAGAATTTTTCCCATTTATCCAGCAGAG